CGGCAGGACGGTGCAGGGTTGAGGCAGGTCAGGGTCGTCCCCCGACTGTGCTCGACGAGCGTGTGGATCCTCCTCCTCCTCCTCCTCCTCCTCCAAGCAGAGGGGTGCAGAGGCGCACGCCTTTCCGGCTACCACTTGGAGCCCGGGCGGCAGTTCAGGGTCCTCGGTGGCCCCGTTCGGGGCCACTTTCCGGCATGCGGTGGCCTCCCACGCGGGTTGCCCCGGGTCCTTTTCGCCCGATGGGGTGCGGTCTTTTAAGGAGGCCGCTTCAGTCGTATGGTCCGTCGGCCGCGTAATGTACAAACCAAGTTTTCTGTCTAGCAGATTTGCGGTTGTAATGGAAGCTCCTTTGGGGCAAGGAGCCATTCGAGCCATGAGGGAGGAGCTCCTGGCGAGGGTGCTTCGCTGTTCCAGCTCTTCACGGTGGCCAGGTAATTCCTGGCAGCGCGTTGTGGCATGTCGCTTCTCCAGGCCCAGACTCTAGCTGACCATGGTAGCGCCTCTACTTACAGCATGGCACAGGTGAAAGAGGAGCAGTAGATGATGGTGGAGGGGAAGGAGGTGGAGGAGGAGGAGGAGGATGAGGAGGAGGAGGAGGAAGAAGAGGAGGAGGATGAGGACCCCCTCCTACTTATGGTGGTGGCGGTGGAAAACAAGCTCACCAGTAGAGGCAGAGAACGAAGGAGATTGAATGCAGGCAGGAGCCAAGAGCGCGGAGAGTCGTCGACGACGGCGACGGCGGCCCCCGCCAGCTCCGGGGGAGGGGGGTCTCGACGGGAGGTGGAGGGGATCCCCTGGTTCCGGGGGGGGGGGTCCTCCTCCTCCTCCTCCTCCTCCTCCTCCTCCTCCTCCTCCTCCTCCTCCTCCTCCTCCTCCTCCTCTACCTCCTCCTCCTCCGCCTCCTCCTCCTTCCTCTTTCGGAGGGAGAGGGTCCTCCTGGTTTCGGGGGGGGCGCCTTGCACGATTGTCAAGCCGAGCGCAGGCGAAACGCGCACCCTCGGTGCTCGGATCGGATGCGAATCGTCAAGCAAGCACTCTCGACGCATCACATTGTGAGCCTGTGTTGGGGGCTGCGCGGCTGCTATCTTCGCAGAGGGACGATCGCTACGCCATGCGTTCACTTCACAGGTGGTCCAACGTTCAAACCTGGTTTCGATTCGCAACCACTTGCTAAGAGGGAGGCCGAGGGGGGAAAGGGGAGGAGGGTATGGGTAACGGGGAGGGGGAGGGCGGGGGGGGGAGGAGCAGTCTGGGGACACAGATGGGGAGGATGGGACGGTGGATGGGCACACGGAAAATCATCACGACGCGGAGGAGGAGCAGCAACCGCAGCAACAGGAGCAGCAGCATGATGACGAGCGCGAGGGCGGACATCGAGTCCGGGGGAGGCGGACCAAGTCGAGGAGGGAGGAGGGCTGGCAGACAGACCGAGCCCGCAGGACGGACCAGCAGGACCACGCCTGGCCCCTGCGCTCGCGCGCGCCCGCCTGCGCCCCTTTGAGCCTCTCGTGTGCGTGTGTGCGCGGCGCGCGAGCACGGCGCGTCGGCGCACCCGCGCGCGCGAGTGCGAGCACCTCGCCGGCTCCTCGGGGCGCCCGCGGCCTCCTTCATCTCTGCACGAGCGAAAGGGGCACGGAAAGAATGGGCACAGTGCTCAGCAGCAGTTTTCCTGTTCCTTGTGAGCCGGATCCGCTGCCCGCGCCGCCGCGGCCTGTGTTTCCAGTCGAGGCAGGAGGCCGCCTGCCCGACAGCGGCTGCTGTTGGTTCGGGACAACATTTGCGGTTGGGCATTGTACCCATTCTTTCGGTACCCATGTCGGGTGTCCAAGTCCTCCTCGCTGCAGGGGAGGGCGGCGCGTCGTCCGCGCGGGGAGATTTCGCGCGGCCAGGCGCTCCACGCGCTGCACTCCGCGAGCCCGCCCGTGGTGCACGGCTGCCTGAAGCCCTCCCAGGTGCTCTTCCACGCGTCCGGTAGGCCCAGGCGGCCACCGGAGGTGGATTGGGAGAGGGAATGGTCAAGCAGTGGCGAAGCGTCTTGGCTCGCCTATAGCCCTACCAAACAATGTTCTAAGAACCTTTTGTGGTTCTCACGAAATGTTCTTAGAACATTTCTGGCGGAGTCTGTCTTGTCTGAACACAGCGGGTTTATGTTCTAAAAACATTGTTTTTGTTCTTAGAACATCTTTGGGTTCTAAGAACATGTTGTGGTAGGACTATAGGAATGCCGGGAAGGTCGGTCCATGCTTAAAATGGCGGGGGTCCGAGGCGGGAATTAGTCCATATCCACCGCCTGGAGGGTCAGTTCTCGGAGCCTCGGCAGGCGGTGGACGTGGACATGTTCGGCCCCCGGGGGCCACGATATATATATATATATATTATATATATAGATTATATATTATTTCATACCACCGCCCGCTGGGGCACCAGGGCGTCGGTTCCCAGGCGGTGGATCTGGATAAATCCCTGCCTCGCAGGGGGGGGGGAGGGCGAGGGGGGGGGAAAGGGAGGCGGGCAGGAGGTGCGAGAGGGCTGAGGGAAGGGAGGCAAGACTGGAGGTGAGGGAGATCGGGGATGGGGGGAGGGGAGGGGAGGGGATGGAGGTGCTGGGTCGAGGGAAGTCGAGGGGTGGGAGAGAGAGAGAGAGAGAGGGTCAAGGAGAGGGATCGGAATTGCGAGCGTAAGAGAGGGGGAAGGTGGCAGGGTGGAGAAGGGGGAGGGTATTGCTTACATCGATTCAAGTGCGCATTGTGCGTCAATTTCCGCGTGTCGCCGTGGCTTCCGACATGTCAAGCGGTCCAGGTGTTCGCTCCGACCCAGGGGGCATGTTAACTATCTGTCTTGCCTTCGCTCCATGAGCTCCCACAGAGCTCAAGTGACCCACTCCAGCTCCCGCCCAGCATACGGATTCAACCCGACACTTTCCTGTCCTTCCTCCTCCTCCTCCTCTTCTCCTCCCTTTGCTGGGGTCGGGGGGTCATCGGGAGGACGTGAAGAAGGCGAGGGAAGATCATGAGGATGAAGGACAAAAGAGGAGGACCAGGAGGGGAGCCACAGTTCTTAGGTGGAGAAGGATTTCGACCAGATGTATAGGGGGAGTTATATATATATATATATATATATATATGAGGGTGATCCCACAAGGAAGACGATGGAGGAAGAGGTAGGCAAAGAGGAGTGAGGGAGGAGGACGAGGGACGAATGACGGAGGACCTCGGAATGAGGCAGGATGAGCGAGGCGTGGACATCGTCACGGGATGAGGAAGGTGTTTCGGAAGAGGACGACGACGACCTGACGATTATAAGCCCAACCCCACCTTGCACCGACGAGCAGGGGCGGAGGTTTGGCTAGGGGCCAGAGAGGGGGAGGGGGCGAAGGAGAGGAGGAGGAAGAGGAGCAGGAGCAGGAGGAGGAGCAGGAGGAGGAGGAGGAGGAGGAGGAGGAGGAGGAGGAGGAGGAGGAGGAGGAAGAGGGGGAGTTGGAGGGGGAGAAGGGCGAATCTGAGGGTAACAGTAGGGTAGCATGAGCAGGAGGTAGCGGCTGAGAAGCTGAAGTGACTGAGGACAAGGAGGAGGAGGAGGAGGACGAGGAGGACGACGACGAGTTGGAGCGGAGGACAAGAGAGAACGAGAGAGAGAGAGAGAAGAGGAGGAGGCGGAGGAGGTCCACGAGGACGCGGACGAGGGCGGTGGAGGCGAGGAGGACACGGCAGCTCCGCGGCAGGCTCAACTTCGGCCTGGAGCAGCGCCTCCGGGGCTGCCAGGTGTTCGCGCTGCCGCACGAGCTCGGGCACCTCGACGCGGAGGCCGGGGGCGCAGGCCACGGCCCGCCCGGCCGGCCGGCGCGCAGAGATGCCGTCGCGGGCGGTCCGCGGAGTGGGGTTATCCCGAGAGGCGGTCGGGCACGAAGCCAGCTCCTCCTCCTCCTCCTCCTCCTCCTTTTCCTCCTCCTCCTCCTCCTCCTCCTCCTCCTCCTCCTCCTCCTCCTCCTCTGTTCCTCGAACCACACCCCTGCCCCTGCTCTACCTTTACGCCCCTCGATTTCGACAGGAGAAAGACGATCCGCAGCTGTTGTGGAGGCTGTTGGGAGATTCTCGGCTCTGGGATGACAGCCTCGAGCCCCAAGGCGTGCTCTGGCAGCCGCTTCTATCTCAGTGCGCTCCGCGGGGTCGCTAGAATCGCCTCAGCGGCTCCCCATGGACCGATTCTCTCGGCCAGGAGGCAGTGCGGTGGTGGTGTGTACGTGTTCGCCTCGGGGGGCTGTGAAAGGTGCCCCTGGCCCAAGGTGCCCCCCGGCTTTTCGCTCCCTGTTGGGAGCCGCAGGGGCCCTCTGGGCCTCGCGAGGGGTTCCCTGGAGTCGGCCACGAGCAGAGGGGGGTGGGGGGAGGGGGGCGGGCTTCTTAGAAGCACCCCTGATTCTTACAAGGCGCCGGCCTTATCTATAGATGTAAGGCCGGCGCCTTCTAAGGAGCAGCCTCCTTCTAAGAAGCCCTCCCCCCTCGATCCACCCCCTTGTGCGCGCCGCCAATGGAGGCCGTGGGGCCACCGTGGGCCAGGGGGGCACTTCTGGCAGCACCCGTGCGCCATCGCTTCCAGTCTGAAGCATACCTCCCATCCCCGTGCTGGGTATCACCTCACCTCGATGCCGATCTCAAGAATTCCCCAAGTTTCTGAGGGCACCTCTCTAAGCTTGTCTTCGCTTTTTGCTCGCCCATCTTAGGGATGGGGAGAAGTTCGAGGCCGATTAGTTTGGCGCTCGCTCGACGGAGCTGGGTCGACTAGGGCCACCGCGCGCAGCTGGTGTGCGAGGCCGGAGGCCGGCAGCTCAGGAGGGAGGAGGCCGTCCGCCTTGCGATAGCTAAGTCGGGCCTGTCCCTCTACAGGAGGAATATCCCAAAAGCAATCAGAAAATACTCCGGGGACGATTGTTTTAAACTATTTCTGGCTATTTGGGAGTATGTTTGAGTATTTCTTATTGTTCGTCCAAATTTCGCCTGTAGGATGACATGACCGACCTAGTGCTACAGCGCGAACGCCACAGCTGACAGGCGCCTTGAGGCCTTGGCTTGAGCAGCCCCCCGCAGCGGGCCACGGCCCCTGGGAGCGGGGGTGGGGCGGCGTCCTCTGAGGATTCTCGTGCCCGCAGCGCGAAGCGTGCAGGAGGAGGCGGATGGTGATGATGATGATGATGATGATGATGATGATGATGATGATGATGATGCTGATGTTGATGCTGATGCTGATGCTGATGCTGATGCTGCTGCTGATGATACAGCTGTCGTTGTTTTATTGTGATGATGCTGATGATGATGATGATGATGATGATGATGATGATGATGATGATGATGATGATGATGATGATGATGATGATGATGATGATGATGATGATGGATGATGATGATGAGGAGGAGGAGGAGGAGGAGGAGGAGGAGGAGGGGAGAAGGAGCCGAGAAGCCCCTCACGGCCCCTCGGCCAACGAGGCCCAAACGCAGCCTCACCTGCTCTACGCCGTCCGCGCCCAGGCACGCTGGTCAGCTGACCTCTCGTGCTTCCTCGCCAGGCCAGTCTGCTGCACGTGCAGAGAAGGCCCATGTCAAGAAACACCCTGCTTGCCTCCAGGGGGTGCCCTGGGTTTCCTGGGCTCCGATTGTCCTGTGACGGAAAGCGTGGCGTCCCCACGCCCAAAACCGGTGGACGTCCTGGGGTCTCAGGGTGAGGTTTCTTGTGGGAGGTCTCTTTCAGGAGGAAAAGAAACACACAGACACACTGAATCGTCGATTCCCCAGAAAATATAAGAAAATATGGGAAGTGGGGGGAAGACAGAAACCCAGAAAATATGGGAAAATATGGGGAATCTTTTTATTTGTGTGTATTTATTTGTGTGTCCCAGGGCCCCTTCACTCTTGTGGTCGGGCCTCCACTGTAAGAGTGACCCTTCGCAGGGAGTGACCTCTGGTTGTCGCGGCCTCCGGGGGGCCCTGCGGAGCCAAAAGCCCGAGCACGCATGCCGGCCGCAGATGTGCCGCACACCGCGCGCAGCGGCCGGCAAGGCCGCGCACCAGAGGTCACTCTTGCCTACAGTGGGGACACATGCCGAGAAACACCCTGCTCGCCTCAAGGGGGTTCGCTGGGTGTCTTGGGTTTCGATGGTTTTGCCATGGGAAGCGCGGCGTTCCCACACCAGAAGTTGATGTACGTCCTGGGTTCTCAGGGTTGGGTTTCTTGTGGTCGGGCCCCTACTATACGGTAGGTTCGTGCCGTATCGACGCGGAGGCGACCCCAGCGCGTGCGTTCAGGCTTGAACGCCGCCAGTGGCGCAGAATCGGTCCATGTGTCAAGATCTGGGGATCGAGGAGCCGCCGATCGTTCTAGGCGGAACGATCCACGCGATGCCAGAGACCAGCGCCGAGGTCATATCACGCACGACACGAGCCTGCCGTAGCGTCAGGGTCCTTGAGACCAGGGCTTCTCGAACCAGGACCCGGCCACATCCCTTGGGAGTAAGCAAATGATGGAGAGTGTTCCGGCGCACGGCTGCAGCTTTCTCGGGCCCGCAAGTGTCCTGGTTCGCCCGCGTCCCCGCTCACGGGTCTCTCTTGTAGTGCGAAGGCGTGTCCTACGACGAGCGAGGGCGGCACCAGTGCCCCAGTACGACCGACAGCAGCACCGCAGGAGGCACGGCACTCGCGGGTCCTCCAGGCTCGGAGAGGCCCTGCCACGCTCAGCTCGCCCTCGAGACCAGCAGGCAGATCGACTCGGGAGTTCTGCCGCCTTGCTGCGACCATCGCGCCGGCGGGCATCGCATTCGTAGCACGTGCTTACTGGAGCCTGCGGGTCCACAGGACCGAGTCGCACCACCGCGGCCAGCACGACACCGCCCAAGTATGATAGCACGAGCGCGGAAACTGGCCAGTGCCTGTCGTGCGGAATGACAGGCGTGAAACCAGCAGTGGCGTTTGCAAGACGAGCGGGCATATGGCATATGGGACAAACAGGATCGCGCGTAGCAGTGCCAGCACGATCATCCTCGTGTGGTGCCTCCCGTAGGAGTGTCGGATGCGACGGTTCGCCGCGAGAGCGAGGTTCCCGACCTTGAGGTGGCGTTTGCACTTCCCGCGATTTTGGGCAAGGGCAGTTTTTTCACTGTACGGCCGGCAGGTACCAGCGGTGCCAGTCGTGTTAAGCAAGTGGCTTATGCCCAAGGAGTAAGGCATCAGGATCATGAGCAGTGGAGTTGGAAATGCGTCTGGCTGGAGTGTCGGGAAGAAGACCAGCACGACTGGTGGGGAGGGGGGAAGCAAAACGAGTCACAAGTAGGTGTTAGTCGCTCGCGACGCGTACAAACACCTTCGACGTGGACCTTCGCAAGCGCGCGTGATTCTAACACAACGTGTCCATAAATCAACAGGGAGCTTGTGAGACACCCTCTAGCGTTGCATTTTTCGGCTATCAGATGTGCAAGTTTCGGTTTCAAGAGAATCGTTCCATCGGCGCGGTGCAGTCCAGAGAAAAACATGAAAAAACAGCTACCGCCTGATATTGGCAGTTCCCAGTGCAATATTTGCGGCGTTTCAGTCGGGTAGGTTGTCCCATTTCTAGTCCAAGAGACCAGAATAATATAACTTTTAGGCAGTTATGCACGTACTCGTGAATATCAACAGTGGAACTGCGAACACCACGTGATATGTTGGCAAGCCCATTAAACGTTACGTTCACGAGCCCTTTTTCAACAGCTCCCCTTCGGCAGGAGCATCTTGTCAAGAGTAGTTCTCTAACGCGCTGCAGATGCTTGAACTCCGATCATATTGTGCACGTTAAGTCGGCAAACCAGTCGCAGCAGAAGCCGCCATCAGAGTGAGAGCCTTGCGATTGAACGCAAGGCAAGTCTGCAGTGACCGATCGTCTGCCCACCGTGACTGAATTCTGCAGCATTTTCCAGAGGCCGAGCTGGGGAATGAGTCTTCACGGTGCATTTTTCTCCTCGGTCTCGCTCTCGTGGCCGCTGCGGAGGTCACATGCAGCCGCCGATGCCTCACGATCAGTCCCCAGCAGTCGACATCTTTGACCTGGGGCTGCTCATCCTCGTCACCGCGCTGGGAAGTGAGGAGTCATTGTTCTTGCAGCCTTGATGTCTCTCTGTGTGTGTCTGTGTGTGTCCCGAGCGTCATATCCACACGGCACATATGAGTTTCTTGTTTTTCCGTCGTTTTTCATCTCTCATCGCTTTTCCTCAATCATTCACTTCATCATGTGTCCTCTCTCTATTCCCTCTTCGATTCCCTGTCGGCCGAACGGCTCGAGTTCGGTTCAAAGTGGGCTCGCGAGGCCGATCGAGTTCTGACATGACCTGGTCATCGGCTGCGGAACTCGACGCAATCGCATCGAGCTTGCTGCCACCACTGTCGACTGACGATGTTGCCGAGTCGTTGGTGGAGAGCCTTGAGGCCTGTTGCATTCGGTATTTCATGGATGACCCGCGACCGGTTTGCCTTCGGCCTGGCTCCCAGCACCTGAATCATTGACACCTGTCATCTCACCGGCTGGACTCGTTTCGGAATCCTGGTCAGAGCATGTCAGACCAAAACCAGGAGCAGAGTGAACCAGCGTCGACATTGGTATGCGCGACTGCCATCGGGCGCCATTTTGACGGCGCGCGGTGGTCGACGTTCACCGCCATGTTGGAATTTGTCGCCGCAAGGTGCTGGTCTTTTGCGCGACGTCGGCGCGAAGCGTGTACGCGTTATACGCTCGGCCTCTCTAGTAAGAAGCTGGATCGTACCGAGACGGTCCCTCGAGTCCCACTTTCAGTCCCGAATACGTGGCTCGGTACTCGTTCAAATCTGGTCCTCGAAGTCATGGCGATTTCGGAGCAGTTCTGATCGGATTCGGGGGCGTCCACGGGGGGTGAGGAGTAGGTGTGTGTGTGTGTGTGTGGATATTATGGCTGCGACCGTGATGCCTCTCAAACCTCATGACCCCCTTTTCGTATTTGTAGCTGTCGATGCGGCTCGACGTTGTTAGAATAGTGGGTCAGCATGGTGCCTCGGAGGGGTCCGTGGACCGTTGTTTGGCAAATCCTGGTTACTTGGTCAGGCAGGCGAGTCATTTGGCAAGGCAGTTCCGAGTGTCCCCACGCTACCTCTCTCGAGTGGAGGTGTCCCCACGCTACCCTCACCTCCTCTCCGAGGTTAGGCGGCATGCTGCAGTAATCCCCCGGTGGGTGTCCACTGTGGGCCCAGACAGTAGCCCAGCCTTCCATTTGGAACGGACTTCCAGCTTAACTTTTCTGACACAGCGCTCGGCTTCAATGTAATCTTTACGCGTCTGATTTCTGTTGGGTTCATGTGGTGGTGCTCTTGGGGGCACTCTGGGGTACCTCCTGTGGCCCTCCGGGCCCATCGAGGTGCCCTCTGGAGCCCTTCTGTGCTAGTGCAGCCCTCTCGAGCCCCAGGGTGCGTAATCTCGGAAACCGGAGCGTATACATTACCAGTGGCGGGCTGTTTTCAATTTCAGGATTTGGTTTACGGTCGGGGACGACGTCGGGGTGGTGTGGTGTACACTTGTTTCCTTGTTTCCCGGGGAAAAGACGGACAACGTATACGCCAGGATCCCGTATACACCAGGATCCGCTTTCCTCTGCAAAAAATTTAAATGCAGGGCCGCAAAAAGCATCGGTGTATAGAGTTCGGTTCCCTGGAAGCGTCAGGATGTCTCGCGTCAGGATTGGGGGCACTGGGCCGTCAGCTCTGGAAGCGTCGGGATTTCTCGCGGATGAGCCTGGCAGCACTAGGGTAATGATCGCGGTGTCTTCCCTGCAAGGTGATTGTGATGTTATTGTGCGACATCATGCTTCACAGTCCGGAGGTCTGGTTGGATTTTAATCATTGGCTGGACCCATGTCATGGGAGGGTGGGAGTGAAAAGAAAGAATGTTGCTGACGAGCTTGCGCCAGAGGGAGCGGCCGCCAATGCGCCCAAGTGCTTATGGTGCCGACGAGGTCCTC